GGGGGGGGGGGGGGGGGGGGGGGGGGGGGGGGGGGGGGGGGGGGGGGGGGGTGGGAAAGGTTGGGGGGGGGGGGGGGGGGGGGGGGAATGTAGCATCAGGTAGCGGAGGAATACGTAGAACAGAAGGAGGCAGGCGGTTTAGAGGAGGAAGAAGTGTGTAGGACTTTCGTCAACCAAACTGCTTTCTAGGTTCAAGCGCAGAGGAGAGAGTTGGTAGGGTTTCTTTTTTTTTCAATCCTTGCCTTGACGTCACACAGTTGTGTTGTAGGAGCAATGTAGAATCCCTTGTAGATATAATTTTTGCTCTTCGCTAATTTACCCATTCTTCAGTCAGCCTAGGAGTTGAAATTGTGACGGAACGGATCACCAATATCTTTTCTCTGGTGACCATCCATGTGACAGGTTCAAGCGCCGAGGCTTGCAATTGATGCTCCATGTCGTCCTTGAAAGGGTTATCGACTGCAACTAATCAGCTTGACAGGGTGGCTGAGGGGAAGTGCAAAAGGGGGAAGATGAGTTGGTGTGGCGAGGGGAGAGATGGGGGAGGGAAGGGGATTGCCCGTTGCCAATTGTGGGGGTGCCCTCAGGTAGTTTTTGTCCTCGTGACCTTGCTTGGTTCAAAATTGACGAATCGTCATCTCCGTAAGGGGTCTGATGGAGACGACTTCCATAATGTTTATTCAGTTACCGAGAGCAAGGCATGTCACACATTATGCACCCTCGGGCTGTGCCTATTCTCCTGCCTGGCAGTGGTCCTGTCGATACATACATATATATACATATATATACACATATACAGACATCTGTTGACATTTGGCAAGAATCACTGGACGACGAGGAGATCGATCGTGTTGTCGAGTTGACGAGCGCCGACTCTTACACAGTTTGTTAAGAGGAGAGCGTTAGGGTTAGTTGGCCAAGCTCCTTCTTACTGACCTTTTTCGTTTTGAAATGGTGCGGTGCGGCCTTCCAAGGCTAATCCGCAAGTGTGCTGCTGCTATTGATTGCTATAATCGGTAGACGATCTCAGTTTTTTTCAAACGTCAAAGTTCCGTGGCCACATAGATTTGCGATTTGAACCCCATTTGGGTGCTACTGATTGATCGCCAGGTACGCCGGGATCGGCACGGACTCGAGACAGGACAGACAGATGAGAGTTGAGGAGATTTACGAAAAGTGAATAAGACAGTCTGTCCTATGGACGGCGGAATTCAGTTTTTTTCTCACTTACCTTCATTTCCTGTTTTCTCGTCTAATCTCTTCGAGTCCGCAGTGAGGCTTTCGCCCAGCCGCCTTACTGCCAAGCATCTCAGTGTGCTATATGACACAGGCTCGCTTAAGTTCTCTTAAGATCCGATCGTTGGGAGGCCTACCCGTGCTCGCAGTCGCTCTCTGTCCGCGTGTCCCCTCCCTCGTGTGGTCTCATGACACTGATTCTGCCACCCTTACCTCTTGTTGCTGCTCCCCCTCCCTCGTGTCCCCTCCCTCGTGCTCGCAGTCGCTCTCTGCTCATGCTGCTTCAAGGACAGTCATAGTCAGTTACACCACCCTTTTGCAAGGGGGTTAAAATCTACTGAGCTGCTAGTCTCTGTTCCTGTGTCTGCAGACACAGTCAAACAGAGACTGCCAATGCCAGTGAACTGAACCCCAGTCCTGATTGATCGGCATTGACTGCACGAATGTGATTTGTCAAACAGCGTCATCGTGATGTTTTACCGTAGGACACGGACATGTGCTGTGAAGGGAAAGATCGTCTGCTTGCGTAACGGAAGTTCTGTATTGAATGTGTTCCTCGACCTGTTGAGCGGCTATTGGTATCTCTTTCATTTCAAAGATGGTCAGATTGTTGTCTGGACTGTGGGGCTCTAAATCAATTTAAAGTTTTTTTAACTTTTTAAACTTTAAGCCACCACTACCTTTCCCGCTGTTGGGAAAATGGGAAAATATCCCAGTCCTAAAAAATCGGGGGCTGGGCCCGACGATGGCCGCCGTTGATAAATCTCATCGTCGGCTGTCGTTTCGTTTCGGCCTCCTAAAAGATTGGAGGCCCACCCGAGGCCGACATGGAAAAAGGTGGTGGTGCTTTAAGCAAAGAACTTAATGTGATGGCACCTGAACGCTTCCCAAAATGATGGTCTTCCACTGCTTCCACTGGTCAAGCGGAAGGTGGGGGATGTGTCATTGTGGAGAAAGAGAGAGTGTAAAGTATCCTCTCGTTCTGTGTAATTGATTGTTGAGAAAGGCACATATGCAGTAGTAGGGGAGAGGCCCTTCCGAATCTGCTAAAACCTTGTTGAAAGTCGAAACCGGTATTGCGTTCGGTGGGCCACAAAGCTGATGAAGTCAACTGGGCTCGCTGAGAGGGAGAGGGAGAGTTGGAGCGAGTATTGGAGTGACAGAATTGTGGATTATGAGTGGAGTTGAGAGTGAGTGAGAGTAAGAGTGAGAGTTAGAGTGAGTTAGACTGTTAGAGAGATGTGGAGTACGGATGAGTGTGAGTTCGAGTGTGAGTGTGAGTGTGCGCATGCATGTGAGCGTGAGCCTGTGTGTGAGTGTGAGTGTGAGTGCGAGTGCGAGTCTGAGAGTGAGTTAGACTGTTAGAGAGATGTGGAGTACGGACGACTGTGAGCGTGAGTGCGAGCGTGAGTGGGAGCGGGAGTGACTGAGAGTGAGAGTGACTGAGAGTGAGAGGGACAAAGAGTGGGAGTGAGAGTGAGAATGAGAGTGAGTGGGAGTGAGAATGGGAGTGAGTGAGAGTAACTGTTAGAGTGAGTGTACGAGTGAGACTGAGAGCCAGGCACTCCCCATGTGAGTGTTTGACTGTAGTAATGTAATGTATAGTCACTATACATTCTTGAGTATTTAGGGTGAGAGAATTGTGGTTTTAAGAGTGAGTTGACAGCGAATGAGAGTGACATGACAGAGAGTGAGACTGAGATTGAGAGGAACTGTTAGAGAAACTGTTAGAGAAACTGTTAGAGAAACTGATAGAGAAGGGTACGAGTGAAGTGAGGGTTTGACTATACATTCTTGAGTTTTTTAAAGGTAAAGTGTTTATTGGAGGTAGAGCAGGAGAGAGTCTATCGACTGTACATTCTCTTTTGTTGGGTATGCTTCATGAAGACGGGCCCGTCGTCACGAAGCATGCCCAACGAAGGCTGTGAATCCCGACATGACAAGGTGATGGAGTATTGGAGGCGACGGTTGAACTGCCTGTGCTACCGTCTTCAACGGAATGGAACGGCCCCTGGTCATTATGCCTGTATTTGGGGCAAGTATTGGAGGCGTCTAGAATCTCGATGCAATGACAATGACCTCTGTTGGGGTGAAGACGGTAGTGAAAACTTGGTGTCTGATTTTCCTCTTGTATTTTCGTTTCTTTCACATGGCTCGGGCACAAAGATCGTCTGCACTTAAAGATGTCTTCGACTAAAGAAGAGCATGTTGATTATCATGCAGAAGGGTAGGGTAGGTTCTTACCCCCTCCTTCTCCTCTTTATTTTGTCTCTTGGCCGACAGTTCTGCTCTTCCAGGGATCATCGCTGGGACTAACTCGACTGTTCTACAATGTGGGCTCTGTTATGAAAACATGAAGAGAACACATACTCTCTGTATACATACATGCATACACAGCCACACGACATACAAACAGATTAACGAGGCGGGGAGAGTGTGTGTGTGCGTGTGTGTGAGAGAGAGAGAGAGAGAGAGATGCATACACAGCCACACCGACATACAAACAGATTAACGAGGCGGGGAGAGTGTGTGTGTGGGAGAGAGAGAGAAAGAGAGAGAGAGAGAGAGTGCACACTCGTGTTCACCTTCTTTTGAAATGGCTGAAGAATGCAGCAGCATCTACGGTGGTAGGCCCTAGTTTTTGCAGGCCACAAATGGTTGCAAACACAGAAACGGGTTGACTGCAAAATCAAAGCGTCAACCCACGGGGTTCTTCCTTACAATTGACTGTCACATGTCCTTGGGTTCGTTTGTGCAGCAGCCAGTGTGTGTCGGCCCCTTGATGGATTCGAACCCCGGACATGTGAATTATGATATGTTTTGCCCTTCCCTGCAACCTTCATTTTGTCTGGATTTCCTGCTGCATGTCCAGTTGCAGGAGCCCGGTCGCACTCTATACCCTTGCATGCGAGGAGCTGCTGTTCTCCCACTCTCGTTGGAGCAGCCCTCTGGGAGTGTCATAACTCGCAACTGTATGAAAGCTGTATCGCTCGATCGCTTACCGCAAGAGTACGTAAGCGCGATCCATTGCCACCTTAGGACTGAACTGTTGTGTTCCTCTTTTCCTCCGGTGAAGGTCAGCGGGCCCAACACTCTTTTCCTCCGGTGGAGGTCAACCCGTGCCATGACTGCCCCCCTTACTGCCCCAAACGTCACCCCCCTCGCGTATACTGGACACTGGACATCTTCATCGTCTGTCGTGCCTCCGGCTCGTTGCATACCTTGATGCCATCTCTTGGACCAAGAAGGGGACTCTGGGCAGGAGCAATCTCAGGAGCAATCTCTGGGGACTGTGGGCAGGAGCAATCTCTGGGGACTCTGGGCACGAGCAATCTCTCTGGGGATCTCTTGGGACTCTGGGCAGGAGCAATCTCTCTGGGGATCTCTTGGGACTCTGGGCAGGAGTCTCTGGGGATCTCTGGGCAGGAGCAGTCTCTGGGGATCTCTTGGGACTCTGGGCAGGAGCAATCTCTGGGGATCTCTTGGGACTCTGGGAAGGAGCAATCTCTCTGGGCA